GAGAACCTGAAACCTCATGGAGCACAAGCCACAAGGATGAGGTCCACCCTGCATGGGATGCCAGCCCATCTCAGGTCATACACACACACTCACACACACACTCACACACACACTCACACACACACTCACACAGGGCTGCACTGGCCATCTAGTACACCGTGAGTTTTCTCCGTGGGCCGATGGGTTTGTGGGCCAGCAAAATTTGGGAGACCCCCGCCCCCAAGTTGGCAAATTCCATTGTGCCGCCCCCCCCACACACACCCTTCTGTAAAATTTACAGTGGGGGACCCTAAAAGCCATTTTTTAATCTCAATCCAGCCCCACTCATACAGAACGGGAAATTTAGAGACACGGAAAGAAAACAAAGTTTCCTGAGGAAACCTGCATGGTTATTTTTTCACATGAATGGTTCTCTAATTGTAGGTTTACCCATCATTGATTAAGAACAGCGAGCGTAAAGTACATTGCATACTTTAGATCAGTGTTTCCCAATCTGGCCCTCGGGGACCCACAGACAGTCCATTTTTTTGCTTGGGAGCTTGGAGGGAGCAAAAATGCGGACTGGCTCAGGGTCCCCTAGAACTGGATTGGAAAACAGTGCTTTAGATGAGATGCTTAGACAAACATTTACAATTTTGAGGCACCACATACATTTGGGCCACAGGTAGAAATACACACAAACCTAGAGAAAGCATGCAAACTCCACAGAGATGAAGCGGGGAATTAAACGCCCATAAATGGGCACATGAGGTAACAACGCAACCCAATGAGCCACCAGTGCAAACTCTGGAGTCATTCAGGCGGTGAGAGCATCAGGTTATTCTGACAGATAAAGGGCGAACATGCTGGGATAAGTTTGGTGAGAGCGGGGGGTGGACGGCAGGCTGAGCTGGGGAGGGGGTGTCCAACAACAACTTGAAGGCTCATCAGCCACTCGGTAAACAGAGTGATGAAAGCGATGAACGTTACAGGCAAGAAAGCAAGAGGTAAGAAAGCAAGGTCCAGATTATTGACTGGAACGGAAAACTGGCACCTGTCACTGGATCACTGGCTTCTTGGAGCTGGGGGGGCGGCGTAAGGATGTGCTGACTCATTGCTCATCACACCCCCCTCCATCGTTCTTGTAACCTCTACAGCTCCACCGATGCACTAAAACTTTACCCCCACTTCTACATCAAGATGCCTTAAGACGTTGGGGCGGGAGAATTTTCTGGGGATCTTCACCTGTAACTAAATACAAAATATATTAGCTATTATATTAAATACATTAACAAAAATGACAAATTCATAGGACAACCAGTGCAGGTTTACATAAAGGATCAGTAGTGAGATGTCAGCTATACTTCTCATCCACTGCTGTTGTGATTCCTTATCTTTTCTCGCTTGTCAAAGCTCCCAGGGTTACACATGTTCAGCTCTGCAAAGGATCATGGGAACTGGGATACATACCTGCCGTCTATGCTACAGGTCACATGACTTGGCCCTCCCAGGTTCACAATCTGATAATGAAAATAAGAATGGGAAACTTGTGAATATGTGAACTGAATATAATTATACAACAACATGATCTATGACATTATCAGGTAATTCTCTTTCTACTAAGGTGGGGGGGGGCAGTGTTGCAAATTAGTTCAAGGCTTGGGGCCACGAGACTGGCAACCAAGCCGAAACCATAAAGAGGTCTGCACTGCCCAATCAGCCTCCTCGCCTCATTAGTTTCCGTGGCGATTGACATGCTCTGCATAGCTATGGCTACCTTCAAAACAAATCCCACATCTGACGCTTTAAAAACAAATTATACCGCTATATATATGAACGCAACAACCTATAGTAATTTTGTCACAACAAGTGTTTTCAAAGTACTTTAAAAATTCACATCGAACTGCCATCTGTGGCGACTTGGTGGTGAGTGTTCACGGCTCTAGTGATCTCTAGTGATCTCTAGTGATCTCTAGTGATCCGGGCTCCATGTGTGTGGAGTTTGCATTTTCCCCCCGTGTCGCTGGGGCCTTTCCTCCAGGTACTCCGGGTTCTCCCCGCAGTCAAAAAACACGCTGAGGTGAATTGGAGTTTCCAAATCGCCCGTAGGTGTGCATATGTGAGTGACTGGTGGGTGTGGCCTGTAATGGGTTGACGCCCCGTCATTCCCTGCCTTGTGCCCATATCTTTCGGGAAAGGCTCCGGACCCCTTCCACCCTGCATAGGATAAGTGTGTACTGAAAGGGAGGCTTCAGACAGAAGACAGTGAACGGCCAGCCTTTTTCTTATGTCCTTGCTGCCATTGGGCAGAAATGCCAGATTAGCAGTTGCCCGCTTTTATGGGTTAATACAAAAGTAGCCCCCCTCCGCTTAACCTCAGAAGGTGGCGCCTTAGGGGGCCGCCTATGTCGCCCTATATGTTTACAGGCACTGACCCCTCCTTCCCCTGTGCTGAAGTCCTTAATACCCCAAGTATCAAGCCTATTACAATGTATTTTATCAATTTAAATGCTTTTTTCACCAGTGGAATGACACAAAAATAATATTGAACTGTATTTCAACTGACATACTGACTTTGTTATTTAAAACTTCTGCCCTTAGCTATAACTGGGATGTGGTGTGGTTTTTGGGGAATACTTGCCTGATATTTTGAGAGGATTCGGCGATCAACTTTGCTGGCGTGTTCAGATAGTACTTAATACAGCCTCGAATTATCTGTCGGACTTCTGACTAATAACCAATCTGACACTGCATGCACTGGACGGCTGTATCGGCTCCTGAAACTGTCCGTACCGTTCCCAGTACAGTCACGTGCAGCGTTTATTAAAATGTATAGCAGGGTACGCAAATTACACAGAAACGTGTCCTTTGTGAAGTTACACTGCTTACGGGATTACGCTTTGACTATTCTTTGCGTGATATATAAATCTGAGTTATAATTGACGACTTAACATTTATTTTTATGCATAAAGTTCGTGAAGCAACGCACCATTTTTTCAGATCCAACTAAAAATTCAAGCAATGAAGCGGAACTGAAATACAGACTATGAATTTTACGAAAATCTTTCTCAGGCGCATTATTTATGTTGTTCGATATAAACGTCGTTATGAATGCCAAGCATGTGTCGCGACGGTGTTGTTGTCCTTGATTTAGGCAGGTAGCCCTGCTTACTGAAACTTATATCTGGCATTCCGTACTTCTGTTTTGATTGTTCACTGACCTTAGTGTGTGTGTGTGTGTGTGTGTTTGAACGGCCACGCAGGTCGTTCAGGAATAAGAGGAGTCCGCCAAATGAATAAGTATCAGCGTATATATATTTAAAGTTGGGCGCTTTTTAAACCAAGGGCGTCGATTTGGGGACACGACCCTACCAATATTTTGGGAGTACGCTGCGTGTTTAGGGGGTGGGTGGTTCGGGGCTGATTAGGTCCCTAACAACGTAGAAACCAAACTTACGGCGTTGTGTTTTACCGCGTGAAAGTGCGCCGGACATCAGCGGGCCATGAGAAAGATCGCATTGTGCCCGAAACGGCACAGATGACGCGGCTTTTGTACAGGCATGCTGACATGGCAGGCGTTTTGATAAAATGACAAATCTAAACAAATGTCTAACAATATAACCAGTATTCTTAATAATAAAATAATAATAATAATAATAATAATAATAATAATAATAATAATTACAGACGCCGGTAGGCCTATTTTAGGGGGATTTTATCCCCCCTAAAATGTGTTTTAGCTCTGCAAATAGAAGCGCATTTATTGGCTTAAGTCATGAGTAGTTTGCCTTCAGCCCCCCCGTAAAGATTCAGCCCCCCATCCATTAATTTCTAACTAGGCATACACTCCTGATAATAATAATAATAATAATAATAATAATAATAATAATAATAATTTTACGGAGACGAAGAATGAGGGGGAGGAGGACGAGGAGGAAAAAGAGTCGGTAAGCGATCCTACGTCCCAGAACACAGTGGCCTTATCGCGGTACTAAACAGCGCGCAGTTCCTGAGGTCCTGCGCCCTCAGCGCCGTCATTTATGACTCGAAGAACCAACAGATTCTGCAAGGGAGGGGCGACGGGCACTTAGCTTATTCCCGGTCGGTGATCGCGCACCTGCAGCGTGGGCTAGATTTACAACCATCCGAGACCGACCATTTAACAGACATTAAAATATTTTAACATTTGAGAGTATTAATACACTACGCTTTATTTATAAGTAGGCCTAAAGCTAATTTTTTCGGCTTTTCCACGAATGGAGTGGAATTTAGTTGAAGGTCGTTTTAAAAAGCAATAATGATTGTAAAAATAGCGTAGCCTATGTTTCCATGATTAATCTTGCGGTTCGAGTGGCATTTGATATTAGAAAAAAAACACAGTAGTTGAGCAACAATATCAGCAATAAAAATAATAATCACATCGCACTTATTGTTTGTTAAAAAATTAAATAGACATTGGCTGCGAATAGACCTAGGCTACATATTGATGTATGTAGGCTATTTATATAGGACTAATGCGTTACGAGTAGGCCTAACAATAGGCTATAGTAACTGTTGATAACAGGCCTAGGCAAAATCTCGACAAAAGATTCTTCGTGATTTCTAAATTAAATTATTTTACTAATTGTGCTTAAACTAGGCCTATGTGTGCAAAAGCTCGCTGGTCTCACTTTCCTTTGTTTTTCTTTCTGACAGTTTTCAGGCTTCTTAAGTGGTCCGTGGATTAAACGTTGATTGAATCAATAAAGTGCTCGCTAATCCTTTGGGGGTTCAATCAGTAAAATTAACAAGTCATCCCGTTGTTAACCGCTCCACATTTAATCAGTGCAAAAAACTCGTGGACGAAATGATGAATAACAGTAATCACCACTGTCATTTTGAAATCACAAGGATGCTTTTGGACAGAACGGGAGTCCAGCCGAACAATCATCAAGGCAGTCAAAACAATTTACCACTACTTAAAGTCACCGATGGGAGCACGCGGTCGTCTGCGTCCCACTCCTGGCATTTCGGCCGACAGCATGCTGCCCCGCCTCGGCCCGCCCCCTGCTACTATAACGTCTCTGTTCCGCAGGCATTATGGCACATTGAACTGTTTTCCACGAAAGCCTTTAAACCAGGTGCCCTCAGATGCAGTACGCGCATCACACAGCAGCAAGCAGCAGATACACTTTCTCCGATTCACATTTGGCTTTTTTTAACCGGCTGTTGCACTAAAACGTGTTCATGTTTTCCACAATGGTCGCCAAGTTGACATCGCTGCAGCAGGAGCTCCTGAGCGCTTTGCTGGAATCCGGAGTCACCAAAGACGTCCTGATCCAAGCCCTGGACGACCTGGACCCCAGCCCGTCCGGCCTCAAACACGAGCAATCACTGATGTCACCGACTAGCGCAGCGACGAACGGCAGCGGGTCGGATTCAAAGAACGCGTTTCGGGCGCTGGCAAACGGGCACGGCAAAAGTGGCAAGTGCTCCGGAGATGAGGGCTCCGAAGACGGCGACGATTTCGACACGCCGCCTATTCTGCGGGAACTGCAGTCCCTCAACACGGAAGAAGCGGCTGAACAGAGGGCTGAAGTTGACCGAATGCTGGCGTAAGTCTGATTTAATTCATGTGAATTGAACATCCATGTGAATTGTGAAACATTTTACTTTAAGTAAAAGGTTATGGTTTGCACTTAGAATGAACTTTCTTACATTTAAACTACACTCATTTGCTTATACAATTCTGCCGTTACTGTACTATTATTACATGAGAATAAAAGTTAGAGTCACTGCAAAAATTAAGGCGAGAAACAAATGTTGAAGATTTAAAATTTCAGGTCATTTCTAGTGGTTGGGTTCTCCGCGCCCAAACAGATTTTACGGAATTTCAGATACCTTTTTTATTGTGTACAGTAATTATTTTATAGGCCGGTCTGATTCTACAACTTACATTTTTTGGATTAAATATACATTTTAAAAGACGCTCCCGTATTTTAATAATATGTTTAACCAATAATGCAATATTTTTTCAGGAAGTATGAGTGTAGTAATTAAGTTTTTGTTACTCAACAAAATATATACACGTATATTTTTAGAATTATGTTTTTATATTTACTGTGGACTAGTAACTTAGGGTTCATAATAATAGGACTATTTATAAAGGCCGAATTTCATTATTGTAATAAAACAATTATTTGCAAAATTGTTTTCCTACTGTATGTCGCCCAGTTTCTTAAATGTATCAATATCTTTGTTAAATTAGCCACAATTAATTTAATGAGCGCTATTACTATTCAGTCTGTTTTCCATATAATTTTAAATAAAACAAAATGTTTAGATAATTCGGTCACACGAGACTAATTAGCTTTTATTAATGTATCCATTCCCTGCATATTTCTGTGATTTAACTTAAGTGCTAATTTACCGACATCAAACTGTCTGCAAATGACAGCCGAAATCAAAACGGAAGCACGTGGAACTGAGATGTTATTAATTTTATTCTATAAATCATCAACAGAAAGATACACAGTGGCGCACGATTAGACCAAATACATATCTGGTTACTCATTGGCAAGACAGTATAAACCGACGTGTCTGTCTCAGCCTGGTCCATTTGTCTAAAACTGGGTTTTTCAGCGGTAATTAATTTGAGTTGGATAGCGTGTGTTACGAGTACCTTCTGCGGACATGGAAAGCCACTGTACTGACCGGGAAAATGGTGAAACGGGCAGCGCTGATTGGGATTTTGGATGGTGATCTTTTCTTGGCTGGTTCCTCTGTTGTTTTTAACGTGAGTCTGCTGTTATTTTTATAAACTTCCTTTTAACAAAAACAAGTATCGCGAAAATGGCGTGGATATTTATATCTGATGAATTGTAGAATTATACTACGAATTTTGTATTTTTATCAAAATATTAAATAAATAAATGCCTAGTAAGTAAGGTGGCCGTGTTTTCAGATTAATGAAAAGTTACTCATACAGAAATAAGGATTTTGTTCGAGTTAGTAGAAGTAGTAGTAGTAGTAGTAGTAGTAGTAGTAGTAATAATAATAATAATAATAATAATAATAATAATAATAATAATAATAATAAAGCATCTGTTGAAATAAATTGTTTTTTCTTTAACAGTTTTTCGAGACTGGATCAAAATAGGCCCTTAATTACATAAGGCATATAATTACATAATATAAATTAAGATATATAAAATATAAATTGCTATAGAATAATATTGCTATTTAACAAAATAATGTCATTTTGCAATTGCACCACTGTACATATAAAATCTAATTACAGTATAATCGAACATTGCGTATTTTAGTTTAAAAGCCAGGTTCCGTGAGACGCTTGCCTTTTTGACGGTCGTTGAGATAATCTTGTCGCATATGTTCCTAAACATCTACTCCGTAAAAAAATACGAATATAACGAAGGCGTGGAGAAAAACTGAGGGAATAGTTATATTATTTTGTTCCTAATTCGGAAACACGTCTGGTGTCGGTAATAGACCCATTATTTTTTTTATTTCCGCGACTAAATTTTTTTTTAAAAATGGGACAAATAGTAGACACTTAACTCAACTCATGCGAATTTATTTGCGTATTTCATTTTTTGCAGCTGGACAAGTAAAAACAGGAAACAGTTTTAATGCGTTTCTAAATTTTTACTAAATTTTTCGAATACAGCGGGTTTCTACTCGTCCGATTAGCGGCCAGTTTTATAGTCATAAGGTGGGTAGGTCTCGCGTGAAAGGAAATACCTGTTAATACTAATTATTATAAACAAAACTATTCTATAACAATATTAAAATAATTTATAATTATTAGTATTAAATAATTTAAAAACTAGTTACCACTACCGCTGCTGCTGCAAGTAATAAGCTACTACTACTGATAATAATAATAATAGTAATAATAATAGTAATAATAATAGTAATAATAATAGTAATAACAATAATAGTTATTATTATTATTATTATTATTGTTATTATTATTATTATTATTATTATTTAGAATTATGGAATTTAGAAATGGACGATATTGTTTATTGAAATTGTACTAATATCAGTCAATTATAAAAATATTGTAGTGTGAATAGTACAGATACCGTTATTATTTGACTAAACAGGCAATAAAATTTGATTTTAGTTAGGGCTGTTTATATTTTTTGTTGAGCCGTGCCCGGTTCTCTACCCCAGCGAGGACCCGTGGCATGCGGCCCGCACCATCAAGAGCTACATGCAGCAGCACAACATCCCGCAGCGGGAGGTGGTGGACGTGACACGGCTCAACCAGTCCCACCTGTCGCAGCACCTGAACAAGGGCACACCCATGAAGACGAGCAAGCGGGCAGCCCTCTACACCTGGTACGTCAGGAAACAACGGGAGATCCTCCGACGTAAGTCGCCACTTCATCCGAGCGTGCTCCTTTAAAGCGAATCTCACTGGGATAGTTTATGTTACTCTATTGATATTTTCCTGAGATTTTTTTTCTCACTGTGACAAAGTTAGAGATTCTTCTGTTAAGAAAAAAAAATGGATGCAGATGGAAAACTGGCAGAAGGACTGTCGTCAATCTCATGTACATTCAATGTCATAAAATTAAAGAGATTTGACAGAATTGGCACATTGAGGCAGGGGCGCCGTAAAGCAGGGGAAAGTCAGACGACTCCAAGGGCCCCTGAGTGACCGTGGCCCTTAAAACCTGGAGCATTGATCTGGGTTGGGGGCTCAATATAATATGCTTTCATGGGGCCCAAAATCTTTAGCGGCGACCCTGCATTGACGTACAATCTTCTGTGAGTCACTGCTCACCTGCAAAGTGTCACTGAGAATGAAACATGTCCCCTGCTGGTGTGAGACCGGTCCAGGTCATTTTGTCTTGTTTTTTTTCAGAATTCGACCACGTGCAGAGTTCAGAAGGCACTGACCCAGACAAGGCCAGTGAGGATCCAGTGCTGTTTCTCTTGTCAGAGTTCGGCGACCCCGGACAGGACTTAATGCGGCCTGCCGGAGGGGCGGGGACTGGCTCCGAGCCCGTCAGCAAGAGGATGAGGCGCAACCGCTTCAAGTGGGGGCCGGCCTCCCAGGACATCCTGTACCAGGCCTACGAGCGGCAGAAGAACCCCAGCAAAGAGGAGCGGGAGGCGCTGGTGGAGGAGTGCAACAGGTTGGACTTTGAGTTTGATACGGTCCTGTTGTGATTATCAGTAGCGTAACATGTCTTCATAGTAATGGTGCTTTATGAACTCTACCCCCCAGGGCAGAGTGTGTGCAGAGAGGGGTGTCTCCTTCTAAGGCTCATGGCCTCGGCTCCAACCTGGTGACCGAGGTGCGCGTCTACAACTGGTTCGCTAACCGCCGCAAGGAAGAGGCCTTCCGGCAAAAGTTGGCCATGGATAGCTACCCTACACACAGCCTCAACTCCCTGCCCTCGCAGACTGGTGTCTCCCCTGCTGGAAAGATGCCAGGTACCTGCTCATAACTCTGTAATGGCTTCCATGACTAAGGTTTCTAGGCCAACTTTCCAAGACCTTCTGCATCGTGCGCGGTAGGAGGGTGGGGTAGTCCTTCATGACAAGGAGGCTCCCTGTTCTGGAGCTCTACGTCAGGGTTCGAGTAAGATACCCATTATGCAGCAAGATGATGCTCATGAATAATGTTCTGATGTAGTTATCTGTGGTGTTCTGGGTGGGGTAACATCACTCACACGAGGGAGAGAGAAGGTGTAAAGGAGTCAATAACAACAATGGGTGATTGAGCAAAGTGGCAGCCATTGTCATTATGATCAGCACTGTCAGTCTGCAGTATCTGTCAGAATGGGTGAGCCAGAGGGGATGACCCACCCCCACCCCCCCACCCCCCGCAGCAGGCAGGGGTCGGAGTAGGTCACCAAGGTCAACGTGGGGTCAACACTGGGGTCGTAGGAGGCAGACTCGAGGGTCCACATCCCAAAGAGGTCCGAATGGTCTGTAAATGTTAATGAGAAAATGATAATGGTGTCAATTCACCACTTGTTAACTTTAACCATACAAATGGTGAACAGTTACTGAAGAGAGCTACTGTTGGACTTGCTGGAGCAACTGGGAATCCGCTGGGAATCCTGGTCCCTGGCTCCCCTGCTGGGTTCTAGAATGTTCACCAATGGGTAGACAATATCGACACCCTCCCAGCCACGGGGGGCATCGGTGGTCCCGGCATGTCAGGCCTGTGTCCTCAACAATGATGTCACAGCAGGTTTCCTTGTCATACGGCTGGTGCTGCCTCCCCTCTCTTTGACCCCATTACTAAAGGGGCCCGATTTCTCCATCTACCTCTGGATAAGTTTTCGGCTGTGATACTAGGACCTCTGAAGCAACAGCGTGTAGCTCAGTGGGCTAAGCCTGTGTGCTTGTAATCACAAGGTCGCCGGTTCAAACCCAGCCTCAGCATGTCTGCGGGTCCTTGGGCAAGGCCCTTAACCCCCAGCTCCTTGGGCGCCCCAACAGGTGGCTGCCCTTCACAGACAGCTTGTTCTACAAAGAGCAAGTGGATGGAGGTGTAAAAAGAATTTCCCCATGAGGGACAATAAAGGATAAGTTATTATTATTAGACATTGAAGCACTGAGAAAAGTCATAGTAAGGGCCCACTGTGTCCTTTTCTTTGTGTCCTTATTTTTTTTCTTTAATGCTACCTTACACCCATTGTTCTGTCTCTCCCTGGCTGTCTGTGTATGCAGATGTCCGATACACTCATCAAGGAGCCGGTGAGGTCACTTCCTCCACGACAGTCGGTCACCACGGCAACGGTGGAATGCCCAGCACTCAGGCGTTGCTGCAGCAGGTGTCCCCCGGTGGCCTGGACCACGGCCTGCTGTCACCTGGTCCAAAGATGGTAAGGAAGGCAGAGCCGAGCCTGGATGACCAAGGCAATATGCAAACTGGGGCCCCTGAGCTCCTTTTTTATTGGCTACCAAAATCAATTATTTTATCTAGGTATATATTGAAGCAACTGGCTGGTCTTTTAAATGTTTAGCTGTCTGCTTTTGCAGCCACTGAACCTGCGGATCCTTGACACCCAAACCCTTTAGATCTGCTAGGAGCAGTGTTTCTGAACCCAGTCCTTGGGGAACCCCAGACACATGTTTTGCTCCCCCCCCCAGCTCCCAGCAGACCTGAACCAAACAATCAAGTGATCAAGAATGGCAAGTGCCTGGTACAGGTGTACTGGGAGCTGGGAAGTACAGAAATCTGGACTGTCTGGGTGTCCCCAAGTACCGGGCTGAGAGACATTCAGGATCTGACCTGCAAGAAATGTCCGCCCCCATCCCCATCTCAGCCTTTATTCAGCCAGTGTGTCATACCAGTGATGGGAGTCAGTGTATATGACACAGATCTGACCAGAAGTCAGTCTCATTATTTTTTTCATTTGGTGCCATAACCTAGAAGCATGCAGCTGTTTGGAAAATTAGCAGATGAGGTTTTCCGGCTACCTGCCGGATTCCTGATGTGGGGATGGATATCACGTCTCACCCTCAAGGTTGGCGTAACTGCTAACGACCAGAATATGTCAGTAGGGAAACAAAGGGAAGGTCTCTAAAGTGCCCATAGTGTGAGCGTGTGTCTACATGTGTCCTGTGGACTGCCACCCAGTTCGGGACTTGTCCTGTGCAGTGTAAGTGGCTGGAACATGGATGGATGGATGGATGGATGGATGGATGGATTTTAATCCCCACACTTAATATACGTAGACACACAAATACGTAAACCGAAAGGGGAACCAGTAGAGAGCCGCATGCAAAACCTCACACTGACAGGCACAAATAACCTTGTGAGCCAGACCCTCTGCTTGTGCAAACAAACACAACGGGCTCAGTGGAGAGAGAGTGAGCCCACGTCTGTGTGTGAGTGTGAGATCAGACACAAAGGGCTATGTGTTACGCCATTGCATGTGTGTGTGTGTCTGCTCAGGCGCTCCCTGTGATACCCCTTATCTGTGTGTGTGTGTGTGTGGTCCAGGTATACCTTACCTTGTGGGAATCAAATGTCCTCACAATGTGATGAATTTTCTTTTTTTTTTTTGAAGGGAAAACTCATTTTAGAAAAATTTCTAAAAATCTGTGACTGCAAACAAAAACTAAAAATGTAAGATCTCCCGTATTTTGTTTGGTTACCTACGGCCACGGTTAGGGCTGGGTGCAGGTTACGGTTCTTACAGGTAGCATCATTAGCATTTTTGCCATAAAAAAAAAAAAGAACGGTCCCCACAAAGATATGATTACAGGTGTGTGTGTGTGTGTGTGTGTGTGTGTGTCCATTGAAATGAATGAGCAGTCCCCATAAGGATATGTTTAGCCTACATGTGTGTGTGTGTGTGTGTGTGTGTGTGTGTGAGTCAAATATACATTTAATTGTAGGGACCAAATGTTCCCAAAATGGGATAAAAACCTGTTTCGGTATTCACAAGTGGAAATTTAATAAAAATCTGTGAAAATGAAGAAAGTAAAAATGCCAAAAGTCATGTATTTTGTTTGGTTACTAACGGTTAAGGATAGGGTTGTGTAGGGGGTCAAAGTTATCATTGTTGAGATTTGGGTTTGCCCATAGAAATGAATGGACGGTTCCCCCAAAGATATGAGTACAGATCTGTGTGTGTGTGTGTGTGTGTGTGTGTGTGTGCTGCTCTGTCCGGGTTTAACTGGCTAACGCTGTGATTCAGTTCATTTGGGTGTGAGTGATTCGATCACTGCAGCGTTTCGTCATCTGCGGTCGGGCCGCTGTCACTGTTTTAGACTCGTGCAGCAAATGCATGTAAATATACAGACATATGTGCATGTGACACGTAAAGGGGTCTCCTGGATCAGGGTTCGTACTTCCTGCCGAAGGGTAACTTCCTACCTCACTGACCACCTCCTTCCATGTCCCTCCCCTGTTTTACGCAGATATCTGTATCAGGAGGAGTACTGCCCCCTGTCAGCACCCTGACCAACATCCACGGCCTGTCCCCCTCCCTGCCTCACAGTTCTCAGCAGCATCACACCCAGACCCAGAGCCTGATCATGACCATAGCACAGAGTGAGTCTACATCACCCTGGACCCCTTGCCCCCCGCCTCCCCGCCCCTCCAGCCGTCCCGTATTTACCAAACTCCACCCCTACCCTTGCTCCCCCCCATTCTGAAATGCCCCCCCTCTCTTACAGGTCTGAACCCATCGCAGGGAGTACCGGTCATCAACAGTGTAGCGGGGAGTCTGACTGCGCTGACTGCGCAGCCGGTGCAGTTCCCTCAGCAGCCGCTGCACAGCAGCCACCTGTCGGCCCCACCCTTGCAGGCACCGGGTCACATGGGTCAGCAGCCCTTCATGACTGGTGTCACGCACACACATAGTGAGTAGAGCATGCGTGTGAGTGAGGATGTGCATGTGCCTGTTCCTGGGTATGAGAGACCCTCAACCCCCCCCCCCCCATCTTTTTTTGGCAGTGTACTCCCACAAGCAGGAGCCGCCCCAATACAGTCACTCCCCCCGCTTCCCCTCCGCCATGGTGGTGACGGACACCAGCAGCATTGGACATCTCAGCTCCATGAGTTCCAGCAAACAGGTCAGTACCATCTTAATTCCCCTGTTCCTCCTCTCTGACTCATCTGTGACTCTTCTCTGACTTGCTGTGACTCCCTGCTGAGCTGCCTCCCCATTTGACCTTGTCTTTGAGATATTAGACCCGATTGCTTCAGTGAAAGCATGCAGCTGTATAAATGAGCAAAGTGCAAACAAAAAAATGAAGCCGCATGTGTTCGAATGAAACTCAGCCTTTGGCACTGATGACAAATTAGCACAAGCGCTGCAGGAATTAAGGAAAAAAATAGGAGAAAAGGTTTTAGAAGGCTGGATAAATTAGTTGTTCATTCAGAAGGGAATGTCACTTATGCCCCTTTCCAGTCAAAATCTGGTGTCGAAGGTTGACATCTACAAACGGCAAGAATGCAGCTTTCATTTGTCTCTCAGGCTGAGGATGTGACCTTTGTCCATCCTGCCTATTGCACATCTCTCAGCTCGTTTTGGGAAGCCCCAGACAGTGCAGCCCAGTCTACATGGCTGTGTGTGCTTTGTACTTTGCAGACACTCCCTTAGTGTTGCTCGGTGAGGGCAAGGTCCACAGAGGCGGTGTCATTGCAGGTTCTGCTTTAATGTGAACGGCCCTGATATGGATGGGGCCAAAAGGCCGAGGCCTCTCAGAGGTAACTGCAGTATGCCCGCCATGCAGCCCAGGGGGGTGGGGGGGGGGGGGGGGGGTAGGCGAAGCCTTGTGTACTTTTCCCTCATCGATGATTACACAACCTGGGGAGTCTCCAGCTATGACCCCAGAGCCATAAAAGAGACATAAGGAATGACTGAAACCAGGGTGATTCATTCCTTTATTTAAAAGAGACACACATTTGTGTACTTTTGAAAATAAAGTGGAATAGATCCAATCTCTTCATTGTTTCAGTATCTTTCGGCCTTATCCTTGCTATAATTGCATTTTTTTTCGAGTGAACCCATCGCAAATGTTAATTAACGAACCAATCGGCTGTGTCGACACTCCCTGGGCCTCAATTTCCTTTTGAGGACCCTGATGACCAATCAGGCATGGACTGGTCCGGGACAGCGTCTGATTACAGAGTGCCCCCCCCCCATCCCCCACCAGCAGCAAATACCTTTGATGGGCTAATCGCTTTCTCCCAGGGAACATGTGTGTGTGTGTGTGTGTGTGTGTGTGTTGCATGGGTGGGCGCTGATGCCCCTCTTCTTCCGCATTGCGATCGCTCTTCCTCGAAACGGCGTTCCTGTCGGCGTTCACACGGCACGTTTCCCACGCCTCGGGAATGCCTCGGGGCAGGGCTTGGCCCCTGCCTGCCTGATGTGTCCATCCCGCCACCGAGGCCACAGCCTATCACCATCCGATGAAAATAGCGCATGTCCATTTTTTGACAATTGACAACTGATGACTTTTTACTATAGATGGAGTACACCCATTCACCCGGGATAGCGTTTGACATCTAATTGACCAATGAAAATAAGTTTCATGAAGTAATATATTTATTTTATGTTCGTAGTAGTTAACATTTGTATCCATGATGGTCATTTTTATATATTACTTTATAACTAACTAACTTCACTGTTAATTGTGAATATGAAGGAAGATTAGTTTGTATCTTGGTGTACAGGTTACTACTTGTTGTGTTTCATTATGTTGCTTTACGAAAATTTAGGAAATCCGTTGATATCCGTTATTCATATTATTGCCGGATGTCTTTGTGTGAGGCAGTTTCACAAACGTGCACATCATACCTGTTCCACCAGTACAGTGTGTGTACAATATGAATTACTGGATATTTCACGGGTGCCTGTGAATTAATGCACTGGGTGACTGAGGACAGTGTGTGTCAGCTTGTGGGACATTTAGTGCGTCAGTGTATCACAGTGTGTCCAGGACGGTGTGTATGTCAGCGTGTGACGGCCTGCAGAGCAGTGCGTGAAGATCCTCATCACAGGCACAGTGTGTTTCAGGGTTTATTATCTCAGTTTGTGCACACCAGCCTGACTCACCCCACCCCTCCCCACCCCTGGACCCACCTTATCACACGAACTGTTTGCTGGTTGCAGGGTCACCCCCAGGTCAGCTGACCTCGGGACAGGTGGGGTAGGCCTCTCTCTCTCTCACACACACACACACACGTTTGTATTGATATCTTTGTGGGGACTCTCCATTACATTCTATGACTTTTAGACTTTTTGGACTTTCATTATAATTGAAATCATGGCCTGTAAACTCAACAAAAGTCACCAGAAATCTAATATTTTTTTCCTTTTTCTTTCTTTTTTTGTAAAAGTAGGATCCCAGAAAGTTTATATCTGAGTTACAATTTTTGTGGCCAGGTTTTGTCAACATTTAGTCCCCTGCAAAGATTGAACCGCACATAGTTTATTAGGCATGTGTGCGTGTGCGTGTGCGTGTGTGTGTGTCTACACACACACACATAGCTATCTGCAAACACACATATACACACTCAGTCACAAGCTGACACATGTTCTGATAAGCAGACAGATGGGGAAACGCAACCACATTTACACACAAGAGGGAGGTGTATGATTTCTCAGCAGGCCTAGTTCTGCCTAATGTAGCATAACCTCATAGCTCATCTTCAGGAAAGGAACTGCTTTGTGCTAAAAGACCCAAATGATCAAAGTGTGTCCATTTACCTGGGGGGAGGGGAGAGTTTAGCCAATGGCACCTTCTTCAAATGGCCTGTGCATTCAGTGGGTGCGTGTGCATGAGGTAATGGCCTTTCCTCTCTTCTTTCAGTGCCCTCTGCAAGCATGGTGAGCACGTGCATCCGAGTTTCCGGTCGCCTGGCAACAGGGTCCTGCTGTTCCACTCTGTCACCATGGTAACCTCAGAAGCTGCCCACCTGGGGGTGTGGCCTGTCAGCCAATTTGCCCCGTCTGTGGCTTGTTGCCTAAGTCGTGGAGGATGGCAAGAGTAGGATTCCCAAAGCGAATGGCCTTTTTTGGCAGGAAAATGGACAAAAACCGAACTATACAGCTGTTGTCCTTGCATAGACATTCAAAAACAAGCAGACTGGAGAGCAACAGTCTACAGAGTGAGAATGGACCTGCAATCCCACACCCACAGGCCACTAAAGACGAATTGTTTTGTATAGAATTGTTCTGGAAGTAAATGTGATGCTTTATAGCATTTTTATGACATAGAGGTGAGAGCGCTTTATAAGAGCGTTGCTACGGCAGCACACCCTGCTTCCGGCATGTGGATAGTTTGGACTCTCATGATCCTCAACCTCAACTGTCTGCCTGTTAACATATATATTTTTTTTTTATTAAAATATTTAGCTGAAGGCCACAAAATGAATTTCAGTTGAATTTGGAGCTCACTGGAGGTCAGTGTGTGTACTGTGGAGTCTTCCTCACACAATGAACGGGAGCAGATGAAGACTAAAGACTTTTACACGTTTTTTAAAGGCTGTCCTGTCGTTGAAATGCTGTTCTGTAGGATGCCGCAAAGCAGCCGCCCGTCCCAGAGGATTATGGGATAGCCCCACCGCCTTGCCTTGCGTTTACGCTGCCATTCCGAATGACGGAATCACAGTTCCTACAGGAGAAGATGTGACAAAATAATCTCTTATGTAAATGAATCTTTATTAAAACCCATATTTATACCGTAAGAAAGCTGACTGTTGAAGTAAATGTTTTTTTTTTTTTTTGTGAAAAGGTGATCCTGCGTTTCCATTGACAACTGGGATACTAAGTCCAGCGGCAGACATTTCAGGTCCAGAAAGTAAAAATCCAAACCGGGATTTTGTTTCAACCAACTAGTTGAGCATGAAGAGTCACAATCACAGAATACTCACCTGGTTAGTTGAAACAAAATCTTGGTCTGGATTTTTACTTTCTGGGCCTGAAATGTCCGCCTCTAAGTCCTTCACTGATATTATGTTAATACTGTTCTGCTGAATGATATCACATTACATTATTTGAGCATTTTTGATCACAAACATGAGTGAACATAAGCGCACAACAAAATAAGATTTATTCTGATTTCACATGTCGGTTGACACAGAAACTGATGCAAGAGTAGATTTGCAACTCCATTGTAGAGGAAGTCAAGCAAGTATTTATGGTTACCTTTTATGATTTGCTGACTGATGTTACAATTCGGGAAGACTTTGATATTTGGCCATTTAATAGATACATGTAAAAAATATATATATTTTTATGTGTGTGCGATAATACAATTTGAGCTAAAATACAGAAGGCAGATTTAAAATTCTGAATGTGTAGCTGTGTCTTTGGTACCTGGGGTCCCACCTCCACTGTGGTGCTCTGCTTTTATGGCAGAGATGCAGCGGGGGGAGCGGGGGGGTATAGGAAGCAAAGTCCGGCGGCGGGTGTCGGTAGGCACGCCTCCTCCCGATTCCTCACCCCGCCACTGTCCGCATGGTCTGATCCGCCGCTGAAGGCTTTAGTAATAAACCTGAAGCCTTGAAGCTCTGAGCTAACTGAGTCCAGTTTGGGGGGGGACTTATTTAAAGGGCCGACGCAGTCTTAACGAAGAGCTACCATTAAATCTTTAAAACTGACTCCCCACATACATTTACATACATTCCCCTTTAGCTGCGGCATTGCAGCCTGGCCACGATCCCTTATCCATTTTTGTTACCCCATATTCCCCCAGTAAACAGGAGGCCAGGTAGAAGTAGGCCAGTCCTCCAAGGTCAAAGGTCATCTCTGTGCTGTGGCGTTATCCTCTGCCAAGTCTGCTCTTTGGCTGTCTGCCCTCTGTGTGTTTGTCTGTGTGCTTTATTATATAGATCAGAGAATCTGACCCCTCTGTTTAAGACACATAGACTGGGAGCTGAAGCCCCGCCTCCAGGGCATTAGATTGACATGTTTACCTCCTCCTTGACCACATTGACCACACTATAAATCAACCGGATGGCAGCCTGGTTGGGACACAAAGCTCAGGGCAGGGTAACACATGCAGCCTGCAACTATTAAGTTATGAAGTACAGTCTCTCCCCAGGTTATGATAGGGTTACGTTCCAACAAATTTATCATAATTTATAATAAATAAATAATAATAAATTTATAATAAAACAGTATGCCTAACCTAACAAACATCCTAGCCTAGCCTACCTTAAACATGCTTAGAACTCTTACACTAGCCTACAGTTGGGCAAAATCATTAACACAAAGTCTACTTCATAATAAAATGTTGAATATCTCATGTAATTTATTGAATGATGTACTGAACGTGAAAAACATTTACCCATCCTAAAGTCAAAATACGGTAACTCGGACCATCGTAACCCAGGAGCGTCTGTAGAAGCATCAATCGGGCTTTCAGAATGTGGAGCGGCGATGAAATCGGTGTCTTGCATTCTGCTGCTCCCCCTGCTGGTACACAGGTGGCGATACACTCATCATTACAAAATGCGCATCCTGCTGGGTCGACTCTTGTAATCCTGTCATGGCTCCTGTTTGCTTATCAATGGGGCTTTTGATTTTGTTCCCAGGGTACCACTAAAGATCAGAGAGTCACATTTAAGACTGAGCACAAAGAACAGAAGGAACACATTTAAGAACAAAGAGGAAAAGTGCTTACTTCGAATCTGTTAAAACAGTGGAATGTACTACGGCTTCTAAGAGCCCTGTGCTCAGTCGTCCCATCATGAAAGTGTAGAATGCTTTTATTTGTGGCGCAGTTCCTGCACACCAAAAATGTTGATCCATGGTCCTTCTTGGGCTCACTGTCCCGCAGGACTGGGCCAGCCACCTGGCATACTGGGCACTGTCCTGATGGGCCAATGGGTATGGAAAATGTATTGTGGAAGGGGACCCACCCAGTCGGCAAAATTAATAGTTTATTATGGGGGACCCCCTCCCCGCCGCTTGTCAAAATGTATTAGGGGACCCTCCCCCACATGGCACAATTTTTTGTGGGGGACCATGGGCAGTGGGGGCCCCCGAAGTCCAGTCCAGCCCCGAACACTGAGACTTTTCTATAATCAGGCATGATTTCTGACCAGGGAATTATCATGGCTCATGTTTTCACTGCAGGGTTTTACCGATTCTTTAATGGGGGTGTAAGGAGCAGACGAGGCACCGCATGCAGGCCGGCATGTCGTCCGCTCGGCAAAAAGCTGGCGCATCCTTCACGCCTACACGCGTACCGCAGAGCCGGCGACTGCAGCGCTGACCGAGGGTGGGTGGAGGGTTAGAGCCTGGGGAGCTGGCAAGTAGATCCGTCCTGTGGCAGAGTTCAAAGGTCCTCCTAGGTGGGCGCGTGTAGCATGCTGGGAAGAGGGGGACAGAGTAAGGAAGGGAGGGATGGGGTGCCCAGTAGGGGTCGCGGGTCGGGCATTTATCACCCCCGCTTGATCAGGGAGGCGGTCAGAAGCACTGGTGACAGGATCCGAGTTGCCGCTAAGTCAGCAGCAGAGGAGTAAAGCTGAAGTCAGCTGGGACTCGCCGATCCTTGGTCCCCCCTCACGCCCCCCCAAGCACCTCCAAACCTCCCTTAGCCACCCTCCCCAGCTTCCTCAGCTCCTCATTGGACAGCACGCAGATGCTCCTGGTATTTATCTTATTTTCAATTAAAACGTATTTTAACAAAAAAAAACTAAATAAATCTAGGTGCATTCGCTGTGAAAATAATAAATGTCATAAACAGGTGGCCAAACGACTACAGATGGTTGAAATATATTATATGTAAATAGATTTAATTTGTGTATGAAAATAGCCAGACCTGACAAAACAATCCCATTAACATTAATGACAACATGAGCAGGCCAATTGTCATACGGTGGATTGTTCCAGTCTCAGGGAGGTCAGCGGGAGGCTTTACATAGTCCTGGGTCAGTTTTGAAAGTGAAACTCCCAGCTGGTGAGAGAATCAGGGACAGGGTCCCCGTTGGGGGAACGCGCTTTCCGTCTTGTCTCTCCTTTTTCATGCGGCAATGAGTGATTAGCTGCTACGCACTGCCAGCCAGAGGGCCGCCCTTAGTGTTACCCAGGGACGGCCTCGCTGTCGCACAGAGGGGGTTAATCATTCACGGCACATGCTCTGCGGGTTGCCAGGTTAATGTACGGCTCGCTCACACATGAACGCCGCGACGTGGCTACACTTGTAGGCCTGACAGTCTGGATCTCGAGTGGACTCACACCTTCTCAGCAAACCCTGGGGCAGGTTTGATCCGATTGTCCCTCTCTGATTAGAAAGGAAAGGCTAGACATCCCCCCTCTCCTCTCAAAAAGCCTATTGGTTGATGAGATTTAATATTTTACATGTGTAACTCTTTTTACACAATGGTGAACACTTTCTGGTCAGGTTTGCAGTTCACTCAGGGGGTTGGGGGGTAATCATGTACGTGGAGAGCAGCTTAACCACTTTACTTTATTTGCCATTTGTACAATAACAAGTCCTGGCTACAGGATTCAATTCAGCGACTTTCCAACCACAGACTCCTACGTAACTTCAGGGTTGCCAAGTCTCACACATCAGGCGTGACACTCGTGCTGTCATGTTCACACAAGAAATCTTATGGAAAATCTATATTATTCCAATATAAACCTGAAATTAGCTACATCAAAAACGTTGAGGTAATTGGCAAACATGACAGACGATTTTCAAGGTAATAAAACTGTTACATGCATGTAAAATGCGTGTGCAGACTGGTCTCAAATTAAAAATCTCACTCCTGCCAGCTGACCAAGGTTGGCACCCCTGTAACTTCCAGAGCTCTTCACTACTCACCACATCACCACACCACCCGCGGTTCATGTCCTGGTTGCTCACATTTAATTAAAGGTGCCCTGGATCACAAAAGATCCCATTCATAGATTGCAAAGCACCAGCATCACCCAAAAGAACCTTGGAAGAAATGTGTGCCCTCTGGATCTTCTCTTGAAGAACAATCTGGAACACTGGACTCATTTTCCTCATTCTCTACAGGCTTTGTGAAATCCTGGGTTAGATTTCCTGCTGGTGTGAAGCTCATTTTACTAATATTATTTTTATTTATGGCTTTTTTGTTAAATGCATGATACATCACTGCAATCAATCTATCTAACATCCACCCACTTGCCAAACGCTCATCCTGGAATTACTATAAAAAAACTTTCCAGTTTTTTTTCTTCTGTTTTTTCATTGTCTTATAAATGTGATTTTAATATCTTTTACTTAAATATATCCATTTGCATCTTTAAAGCAGTTTGAATTGCTTTGAATTGTGCTATATAAATAAACTTGCCTTGCCTTGCCTAAAATAATTATCTTTACTGTTCTGCTGCATTCAGGTTTTCCTAAAATATCTAATAAAGATACGTGGGTGTACTCACTTCCATCACTGCTGCAATTGCGACATCTAGCGGAATTTAACTAACAGTTCAAACACATGTCAGGAACATTTTCGGCAAGCGATTATTTACGTCTGACCGATAGAACACGTATCGGCTAGCGATGTCTTTCTATGCATCCCATGCTGGTCGAACGAAGCATGGACGCACAAGATTTGTTTCGGAAACTCGGCGCTGGGGCAAAGTTTGACTTCAAGAGATTTGGTAAAGATGCCGAAAGATTTAAAGTAAGTGTGTTATTTTTTAACATGCACGCTTGTAGTATTTATATAATCAAATTCATCTTGTTGCAGCAAATATAGCGTTAGCAGGCTTATACATACACAAACACACATTAAACCGTTAATTACCAAGCCATTTTAAGTCATGCATTTGAAATCTTTGATAAACCAATTAATCTTGCTACCAGTAAACGAAAA